GCAAAATCATTCTCGGAGAAGCAAAAAAAAAGTAGCTTATCTCCAAAAATACTTTTTTGAAAAGCATTGTTGATAAAAAAATACACGTAGAAGCAGTTTTTTAAAGCTTGACATAACACTAATTGCTGCTCACTGCTCATAAGTACTTTTCAAATTAATTAACCAAACACAAACTGTTTCTCACCAAAAGTATTTTTGCACTTTTGAGAAAAAACACTTCTCGAAATAAGATGATTTTTGGAGCTTGACCAAACATACTATTAATTAATCGGCGAACCACTTTTTAGTCCTGCTATTAGGGCTTGACCACCTTTTATATTGTAATGGCAAAATAGTCACTGAATCGGTTAAATTAACTTTTATGCCCCTAATTAAAACACAAAACACAATTCCAACAATCGGTACTGGAGTTCGAAGTTTCGACAAGTGGAACCCCAGCAATTTATGCTGGAATTCTAAGATTTGTTGAGTTAGCGGTTCCTAACTTTTGAACCTTTACTAGTGCAAAATCTAGAAACGATTCCTGATATTTGAACCTTTACTAATGCAAATTCAAGAACGATTACTGATTTTTGAATTCATAGTGTACTTCAGCAATTTGAACCTTTACTAGTACAAAATCTAAAATCCATGAATGATTCCTTGCTTTTGAACTTTTACTACTGCAAAATCCAAAAAAATTCAGGAACGATTCATAGATTTTGATTTCACATTATACTTTAGCAATTTTTAACCTTTAAATATAAAATTCAGAAAAAATTACTGATTTTTTAACCTTTACTAGTGTAAAATTCAGAAAAATCCAAGAGCGATTCATGATTTTTTAATTCACATTATATGTCAACAATTGAATGTTGTTGCTTCAGATCATTCAAACTCAAGGAACAATTCCTGGATTTAAGTATTTAAAGTCCATTTATTGTTCCCGGAGTTGTTTCCTATTTTAGATAGGAAAATTTTTGCCCATACTTATATTTTCGCATTAATAAGTTGCTACTTTGCCTATTGAAATAATTTAAAGTATGGCTAAACTCTAATAACTGATCTAAAAATGGCTATTTACCAAAATCATCCAAAAATCAAAGAGAAAAGATCTAAGCCTTGAGGTTAAGACTCAATATCGTTTTACTACCGTTTTCTGTTTTTTTACCTGTATTTCCTAGAAAATATTTGGAAGTTGTCTTTACAGAAGAAAAGAAATTACAAGAAGCTAGCCATTTATTAAGCTGCACGTAGCCTTTTTATGCATGCAATCACTGACTTAATTGGCACCGAACAAAGAAGGGATAGTTGGCCTAACAACAGCAACAACAACAACAAAAAAACTCAAAGAAATCTTACAAGCAGGGTACGAGAAGAATAATATGTACGACGACCTTACATTTATCTTGGGAATATATAACATGGCCGACTCTAATGCCTTGTCTAATAAGGCATGTGCCTTGGGCCCCCAAATTTGGGGGGACCCAAAATAAATGGTGTATAATAATTTAAATAAAATAAAATTTAGAGTTTTTAGTACAAAGTTAGACTTTTTCATATAAAACGAAAGAATTTTTCTAGATATGTAAATAAAGTAATCGTTTGGCTTACTTAAAATGGGTATTATGAAAATATTTTTTAACGTGTGAATTGAAATTGATTTGACAAGAAAAAATAGTACAAATAGAAGATATTATACACTATATCAAATAAAACGGCTTGATTCTTTTTCAAATATTTATATTGCTTATAGTTATTAGTTCCTATAACAGTTTCCTCAGCGATAATAAATTTTTCAAAATTAAAATTGATAAATCTTAGTTAAGATAAATAATGTCTCAAGAAAGATTAAATGAGTTGACTATAATATCAATTGAAAAGGAATTATTAGAAGAAATCGATTATAAAAAAATTATTAATAACTTTGCATCTCAAAACGTTAGAAGAATAGACTTCAAATAAAAATATATATTATAATCTTTTAAAAAAAAATTAGGTCTCATATTAAACTTTGGCTTTAGGCTACATATGAGCTTGAGCCGCCCCTAAAATAGAAAAGTTGTCTCCTAAAGACCCTCGGCTCGAGATAATTATAAAATCTTAAAAGACTCTCGTTCTATCAAGGAGAATTATAGGCTCCACAATAACCACAATTACATTTTCCCCTTTGTAATAATAACAACCAAGTTGGTCCTTTTTTCCGCTGTTTATATTGGAAGTCAATACAAAGTAATTGTAGTAATGCAGTCAACTGAGTTATTTAGACGAATAAACTACCTAGACCACATTGACTTTGAAACTCTAACGCGGTATAGCTTCATTGAATATGTCAACCAATAGTAGATAATAAGCACTTAATACTACCATCTTTTTTAACATCATCTTCTTAACGAAGTGAGTTAACTGACAAAAGAAAGTTAAAAGAAATAAAAACCATCAGTAGAGTTGGAATCTTGCATTTAGGTGATGAAGTATGAGAGTCGATCACTAGACTACAACTTTAATTATCCTCTTATTAATGTAGTATTATATTTTACTTAAACGTAGTAAAAGACCAATCATCACATTTAGTAGCGGAATTTTCACCAAGGGGCTCAAAAAATAAAAAAATATACACGCGAAAAAGCTAAGGAGATTCAACAACTAATATATATATACATAAAAAAAAGTATTCACCTTATATACACAATATAATTTTCGATGTAGGGGTTCAGCGCCCACCTAGCTCCGCCCCCGATCACATTCCAATGTTGACCTAAATAATGAACCATCCTATCAACTAATTGTAACAGTTATGATACTCATTGAATGACTAACGACGATAAATTCTTCTCACATCTTCGACTAATCTTTTTGTACATATTCCAATTATTGTTACCAGAGAGGAGAAATCTGTCACATTCAAGGATTTATTATACCACAAGTAGTCAACCTCTTTATTTCTATTTTGAGAAAAAGAAAAACACCTTTTTTTTGTTTGGTTAACAACTCTTCTTATATATTCATTGTTGGATTACCTCGTTATGCTAGACGTTTAATTCAATTTTTGCTTTTGTATTTTTGTAACCAAAATCATCCCAACAAATGGATATAAAGGGTTTTTAAAATAATTTAAACGCGTGAATTATACAACAAGTCCAATTGGTAGCTATAGAAAGATTGATTTTATTAATAATGAATTTTATGTTGCTATCAGAGTAGGTACTCTCTGTTTTTCTCATATTTAAAACGACAATTCTAACATAAAAAGAATAATCCCAACTACAAGGAAATCTCTAATGTCATATATTTTTCATCATGACAAATACATTGAGGCTGTAAAATATACTACACATGTCACATGACAACAATTTAAGTGCTTGTTTCACAAAATAATGGATTGTTTTAAATAAATAGAAATTCAATTTTTCTCAACTAATTAACACAATTGTCTTTTATTTTAATGAACAAGAAAACAAGTTGAAACAAAACAGAAAACGTAACACAAGAAATTTTATTTTCCACCTTACAAAACAATGAGCCGAAGTCTACAATCACGGAAATATGTATGGAAACAATTTCCCAAAACCATATCCAAGCTTTCACAAAAAGAAGAAAAAAACAGAAATAAGTCAAAACCAGCACAAAATAAAATAAAATAAAAGCTATTTTCTGTTCCTAGCGACATCAAAGCTGCATTGCCTAATCAAATTAATAATCATGTAACGCGTTAGTGTAATTAATTTTTCTTAATACATAAAAGGAAATTTACTAGATTTAGGCCCACAAGAGAAACAAAGTTAGGAAATTGGATAATCATTTCTCCTTTAGTAAAAAACAGTAGATGTTAAATACAGAAATACTACCAAACTTGCACTGGAGTATTAGCTAAATTTTTCCTTTTGACAAGCTCTTGATGNTATTAGTTTTGATATTATTAAACCCTTGTTTGGAAGTATATTTTAACCTATGTATAACTAATTATACATCATATTCAGTAGTATTTTTATACATAACAAACCATGGCATTAACAATCCATGATTTTTAATACATGGATAAACATGTATAAAGACAGAATTGTCCTTTCAAAATCCTTTTCAAAGAAGGTGGAGGGTATTTTAGTAAGCAAATAATTTTTTTAAAAATTATGCAATATTTTTAATATACCAAACCAAACAGTCGATAAAAAATAATTCCAACATAATTAATCTCAGCATCACTAATACACCATATTCAATACTCCCTCTGTTTCACTTTATGTGAACATATTTTCTTTTTAGTTCGTGCAAAAAAGAATGACCCTTTCCTTATTTAGAAACAATTTATCTTTATGCAATGATTTATATCAATACAAAATATATGTGCCTCATTTTATACCACAAGTTCAAAAGTCTTCTCTCTTTTCTTAAACTCCGTGCTCAGTCAAATGGGTTCACATAAATTGAAACGGAGGGAGTATTATTCTTATATATCCTACCCAACGACCCCTTACGGGCTTACACATGTCAAGATATCATATACTCTCTTTGTTCCAGTTTATGCGAACCTATTTTCTTTTTGGTCCGTTCAAAAAAGAATGACTCCTTTCTAAATTTGGTAACAATTTAGCTTAAACTTACAATTCTACCCTTAATGAAAATCTTTTATAATCACACAAATAATTTGGGCCTCTTTTTGACTTGTTCAGGACCACAAATTTCAAAAGTCTTATTTTTTCTTAAACTTCGTGCCCAATCAAACAGAGGAACGGAGATAATATTAAACAATATTTTTCTGTCTCTGTATTGATTCTCCTGTCACTATAATCTATTGTCTCTAAAACAAAACTGTCAAAGCATATGTTCACATTCAAGAAAAAGTTAAAGAAGGAAAGGGCATTCATGTCACACTAAGACAAAAAAATAAGAAAACTGTTACAGTTATTCAAGAATCCCCATCTCAATTTAAATAAGAGAAAATGGTCCAAAGTACTGACAAGGACAGTTTGGTAAATTTGGTATATCAAACTGGGACAGTTTGCAAGTCTTCTCACTTCTATTCCAAGTAGCTTACCTGCAAAGTGTAGTACTAGTAGTTGTGTGTATATAGGGGAGAGAGAGAGGGGGGAGAACAAAGCAAAGGATAGAAGAAAGTGAACAAATTAGATGTGAGAACAAGGCATCCTTTTTTAAGCATCATTTCCTATAGCTATAGCTTATACCTTCTTTCCTATAGCTCTGAATCTTCCTCGAAGTTTGTGTTCAAGAATTCAAAAACTTACATATACTAACAGTTTTCTCTTAAACTTTTGGCCAATATAGCTTCTTTTGCTTTGGGGGTGTCTTTGATTTGGTTCTGTCTCTGAGTTCTGCATATGGGATTTTAACCAGAAAGGTAGTAGTAGGTAGATTGGCTGAGGAGAATTAGAGTTAATTAGATTGGAAATGTCTTTCAAGATCAGAGGAGTGGTAGAACCGCAATCAAGAAGTATTATTTCTCAAAAATGGACTCTTTTTCTTTGTATAGGTAGTTTTTGTGCTGGGATGTTCTTCACCGCCAGGTAAATTAATTACCTTTTATCAGAAATTTTCACTTTTTCTTGTTATATCTCCTATGTGAATTCAACCAATTTTTGATATCTCCACTTTTTCTTGATTGCGCCATTTTGAACCCGGTAGTTTATCAGGAAGAATTTTTGGTAATGTTACGCGTTCAAGATTGGATATTGTGCTATGTCTTTGAAAGGGAGATTTTGTGGTGTTGTTTCTATATAAGCAAAATAATCTTGGAGTGTTGAACTGTTGATGCTGTTCAATTGTTACCTTTTTTGAAATTTCTGAGTATTATTTCTGATTTTTTCCCTATATTTTCCTTTTGTATAATGGCAATTTTGCAAAATAAAATGGTAAAGCACTGGTAGATCTGTAATGACATTCTGGTTGAGATTTTACAAAATTGTGTATTTTAGGCCTTAAAATAACCTTTGATCACCAGTTTGGCTTATTTCTCATTTCTGAATTGATGGAAACTTCAAGCTATGTTATTCTCCCTCATTGTCCCCTTTCATCCTCTTTTCTGGCATTCCCTTTTTGTTATTGTTCATTTTCTTCTTTACCTTTGCACACTGAACAAGTACGCGTACATGTTTATTCATCCTCTCGAGCCAAGGGTCCTTTGGAAACAGGGCCTCTACATCCGCAGGATAGGGGGTAAGGTCTGCATACGCACTACCCTCCCTAGACCCTACTAGTGGGATTCCACTGAGTTTGTTGTTGTTGTAAATAATAATGTGTTGAATGTCATATAAGAATAAGGATTTAGGTATTTTGACAAAAAAGGATTTGGATTTAGGAAACTAAATAGTGCAGATGGTTATAAACAACAGTTAGTTGTAGGAGCATTCTAGAATATTGAAATACTAGACTTTTGATATTGAAACACCACTCTTTACTGTAGCTTTGCAAATATTATATGAAATGATCTTTCTTTGTGAATATAACTCTTGAAAACTGATATTCCATACTAACACAAGTATCTTGTTATTGCAGAATGTGGACGGTTCCTGAAACAAAAGGTGGTATTACAAGAACAACTGCAGTAGAAGCTGAAAAACTCAACTTAGTTTCAGAAGGCTGCGATACAAAATTTGTGAGTATTTCTGTTCTAGTTTTTTTATTGAAATCTCCAACTCGAGCCTCAATTTCTTGTTTAATCCCCATACAAGATATCTTAGATGTTATCTTGTGTTGTTTCAGTTGCAGCAGAAAGATGTAAAATTAGTATCCAAAGATGTTTTCGGAGAAGTTTCTAAGACACATCATGCTCTTCAGTGAGTTCTGCTCAACACTCTTTTTCTTTCCTATTATTGTTTAGTAAGTTTTACTTTCCTATGACTGCATATCTTATACAGGACACTAGACAAAACAATTTCAAATTTGGAGATGGAGTTGGCAGCTGCAAAGGCAACTCAGGAGTCAATTCTTAGCGGTGCACCTCTATCACAAGACATTGAGAAGGGTGATTCACCTAGAAAAAGAAAATATTTTGTGGTTGTAGGAATAAATACCGCATTTAGTAGCAGAAAAAGAAGGGATTCAGTTCGTGCTACATGGATGCCACAAGGTATGGACTGTTCCCACTCCCTTCTCCCCTTCTAGTTTATTTAACTCATCTTTTGGTTGCCATTGTTTCTGTCTGATATGTTACCTTGTTTATAATGTCGTAAATAGGCGAAAAACGAAAGAAGCTGGAAGAAGAGAAAGGAATCATCATGCGCTTTGTCATTGGTCATGGGTAGGTACTTAAGAAGTTGCAAATGTTTAGCGGTTTTATCTGCAGATGTATAGACAGCATAGACTTTATACGCTCTGACTAATAAAGCTATAAACTTGTTGTGCAGTGCCACGTTAGGGGGTATACTGGACAGAGCTATTGAAGCCGAGGACCAAAAGCATGGTGATTTCTTGCGCTTGGTAATCCTCTCTCTATAATTAGCTCAATATGTACTAACTCTATTTTTTTAAAATTCTCCTCATAAATAAGAGTTTGTAACATAACTCTGCCGCCTTTGAACAGGATCACGTCGAGGGTTATCTAGAATTGTCTGCCAAGACAAAGACTTATTTTGCTACTGCTGTTAAGCTATGGGATGCAGAGTATTATGTAAAAGTTGACGATGATGTCCATGTAAATATAGGTAACTGAATTCGTGACATTATTTTCCACATTGGCGATAGCATAAGCGTCTTACATGTCTTACTTTCCCATAATAAATTAGTAGATAGTAAATGTTTATCGAATACATCCTAAGAGGAAGCTGGCTAAAGTTTGTCCAAATTTACTTACTCGTTAGCACAAATATAAATGGTGTCCGCTTACTAGTTTGTTTTCTTCGCTAGCAAACTCATTTTCTATTTCTGTTGCAGGTACACTTGCAGAAACACTGGCAAGGCATCGTAAGAAGCCTCGTGTGTACATTGGGTGCATGAAATCCGGTCCTGTGCTAGCTCAGAAGTAAGGGTTTTATTTTCTAAGTGAATTCAATTTTAAATTTCATTACTTTAGCAATTTATAATTTTCTCTTGAACAGGGGAGTAAGATACCATGAACCAGAATACTGGAAATTTGGGGAGACGGGAAACAAGTACTTCCGTCATGCTACGGGCCAAATATATGCCATTTCAAAGGACCTGGCCTCCTACATATCAGTAAATCAGTTTAGTATTTTCTTTTCTTTATATTTTTTTCTAATTATATGGACTGAACACTATCCAAATACAATGATTTCCTCCCCTTTTGTTTTGAAATTCTGATCATAATCTTCTCGATGCTTGCAGGCATGTACTACATAAATATGCCAATGAGGATGTGTCACTGGGAGCTTGGTTTATTGGTCTTGACGTGCACCATATAGACGACCGCAGATTATGTTGTGGAACTCCACCAGGTAAAGCTTTTTCCTTTTTACTGGTCTTAATTTGCTATCGTAATAAAACTTGAGAAACCATCGGGAAGTTTTCTTCAGAATTACGAAAGCATATTTTATTAAAAGAAGGCATTGAGATAGTTGCTTGAATTCCAAGATCTGAATCTGTAACTAACCTCACATTTCTACATGTTTAACTGCAAAAATACCAAACTCTCTTCTGTCGAATGTGATTGCGCTATGTTCTACCTAGCTAGTTAATCCATTAGGTTGCAACTCGTAAACCTATTCTGTTTTGTCTTTTCTATTATCGCATATTATTTAAAGCATAACACTGTTGCTGCAGATTGTGAATGGAAGGCTCAGGCAGGCAATATCTGTGTTGCTTCATTTGACTGGACCTGCAGCGGGATATGCAGGTCCGTCGACAGATTAAAGGAGGTCCACAGACGGTGTGGGGAAGGGGAGAATGCTTTATGGAAAGCTGCAATCTGAGCACATGCATTTCTTCCAAACTCAGGAAGGAGATGATGCCAATGCTTTATGTCAAAAAAAGTTCTCATTTTATTGCTCGAGAGTACAGATATACATGTTATACACACGGAGGGATCAAGAGAAGGATTGCGGGGAAAGAGAGGGAATTCTATAGAAAGAGTGCCAAGGCCTAGCTGTAAAGTTCTCCATTTTTGTAGAGAAGAACGGCTGCCAAAGCGGTCATCACAAGCAGGCAATGGCTCTCACCACTCTTTTCTTCTTGTTTACCACTAGGCTAAGATGTAAGTCATAATTCACTGGATTGTAAAATCTTAATAAATGCAAGTCATTTTTTTGGTGGACCTGCTTCTTGTGTACACTTTAAATTTGCTGAAATGTGGTGTCATATTGCATTTTACTCCAATAATGCACCATAATTAAAGTGAAAAAAGGTCTTTCCAATCTCATTTTCAAGAAACCTTTAGGTAAAAATAAGGAAGAGCATTGCATAAAATAACATCTATAATTTCTTTTAGAATATTAGTAATAGTAGGAGTGGGGAGCAGAGCTTGTTCCCACCTTCAACGGTGTCTTTGTTACTACTTGGTAAAGCATATTCACATAGTAGTTGAACAAGAAACTTTTAGGGGTCCTTTGGTGTGAACTTTGAAAACAAGTTATGCTAGGATTATGTGATGACTCAAAATGTCATCTTTAAATTTAATGATTAATTATGTGATTTAAGCACTATTTACCATTACTCGACTTGCGTGTGCAGTCCGTTAAAAAAAAAAAAAATCGGAAAGTTTTCAGGTGAAAAATGAATTTAAATGTGAATTAGAGCTTTAAAACTCAACTGAGTTGACTTTGGTCAACATTTTGAGAGCCAGGGATATGGAATTTTGATGAAAAATTAAAAGTTTAAGTTCAAATAGTGACCGGATGTCAAATTATGTGCAAACGACCCCGGAATAGAATTTTGATGATTCCAACAGCTCCGTATGGTGATTTTGGACTTAGGAGCGTGATCGGAATTTTATTTGGAAGTCCGTAGTAGAATTAGACTTGAAATGCCGAAAGTTGAATTTTTGGGAAATTTGACCGATGGGTTGACTTTTTGATATCGGGGTCGAAATCCGATTCTGAAATTTTTTATAAATCCATTATGTCATTTATGACTTGTGTGCAAAATTTGAGGTCAATCGGAATTGATTTGATATGTTTCGGCGCAAAATATAGAAGTTGGAAGATTTGAAAACTCATAATTCGATTCGATGCGCGATTCGTAATTTCGGCGTTGTTTGGCATGGTTTGAAGCCTCAACTAAGTTCATATTGTATTTTGGGACATGTTGGTATATTTGGTTAAGGTACCGAGGGCCTCGGGTGGATTTCGGAAGGTTAACGGAATGAATTTCGGACAAAAAGGAGCTGCTGGAATTTTTCTGCTGCAGAAGCTGTTTTTGGACAGCAACCGGTGCAATCGCAGAGCTGACTTTGGAAGCTTATATCTCGAAATCTATAAGGAATCTGAACATTTTCAAAACATGAAAGTTGTAGCCCTTTGATTCTAGTTTCCAGAATGATAAACCATTTATCATTCAGACATTTATACAAAATGTTATGATCGATTGACTGAAGCTGCTACTGCAGATTTTTGCTACAGCAGTGTGCATCGCCAGAAATTTCTGCTGCACAGGGCTGACTTTGGGAGCTTATATCTCGCAATCTATAAGGAGTTGGGCGATGAGCAAAACATGAAAGTTGTAGTACTTTGTATCTAGTTTGCAGAACTTTAAACCGTTTGGCAGTTGGAGTTGAGTACAAGAAGTTATGATTGATACACTACAGGCTGTCGAGGAAGAGTTTGATGTTTTCAACATAAGCATGTAATGATCCAAAAGTCCATTTTTAGTTCTAGAGATCGAAATTCGATTTCGAGACTTTCGACATTTTGATAATGAATTATAGGAGTGATCTAGAAAGTTTGGTCTAATTTCATCAAGTCGCGATTGAGTTTTAAGCGCGAAATATGAGTTAATTGTTTAACGAGCGAAATTGGTATCACATTGAGCAAATGAGCTCCGAATTGAGTTTCGATTGAACGAATGGGTTCGTAGTTTTATTTGTGACTCATAGGAACAAGAATCGTCGAATTCCGAGTTCGTATGATGGAGTTAGAGCCTTTTTAGTGAAATAAAACTGCTGGTGTAAATAGTCCTGGTGTGCACCTTTAGCGACCAGATGTGACACTTTTAGCGACGGGATTGGACTTTTAGCGACCGGAATAGTGTTTTTGGGGCAGAAACTTAAGGACCAAAAATGGTCATTTCCTTCATTTCGTTTTGGAGTTTTGGAGCACGGTTCTTGGGCGATTTTGAGGATTTCTTCAAGACTTCAACTTGGGTAAGTGTCCTATATCCAAATGTGATTATATTTCATAAATCCATGGTCATATTCATCATTTATTTCGGATTTAAATGGAAGAAATCAAGATTTTTGCAAAATCTTCCAAAAACGAAAATTTAAGATTTGGAGGTCGAGTTGTTATCGGATTTTGGTAAAATTGGTATGGGTGGACTCGTAATTGAATGGGTTGTCGGATTTTGTAAGTTTTGCCGGATTCCGAGATGTGAGCCCCACTGACAAATTTTGAGCTAATTTCGGATTTTAATGAAAAT